ATGAAACAATAAAAATAGTGTTAAATTTAATATGTCTTGTAAAGATAATATGAAACAATAAAAATAGTGTTAAATTTAATATTATTATGAATTACGACGTATAATTTATAACCAAGTGAATAAATAATTTTAATTTTATAAATGATACGTAAGTTCCCTCTTCAGTCACAAACATCATATTTTAAATTCCCATGAGTAAATTTTTTTAAAAAATGGGACCTGCCAGTCTTTATCCGAAAATAAGGGGTAACTGGCAGCAATTTTTTGAGAAGAGGAGGAGGAGGATAACGGAGAAGAAATGTTAACGGAGAGAATGACGGATTGTCACCCCGGAGTTAGTTTTCGAATATCTTAAGGTACCTCGGAGTATATTTTGAAAAACAATGGGACCTGCTAGTCTTTATCCCAAAATTAGGGATACCTAGCAGCAATTTTTTGTTTCAACTGCCACCATTTTAATTATATGTATGAATTTATATATATATATATATATATATATATATATATATATATATATATATATATATATATATATCAAAAAATATAATATTTCTATATTTTGTTTCCTAAATAAACTTATTTAGGGTTAAATATGTTTTTTAATCCATGTAAAATAGGTTAGTTTTGTTTTTTGTCCTTTTAAAATATTTTTTGTTAAAAGCATCCTTACAAAAATTTGATTTTGAAAATAGCCCCTAAACGTAATTAGAACTAATAATTAGATGAGATTACCCATTTATTTCACACTCAACAACTTAGTCTTACATTTCTAATTACGTTCGACACAATTTTCAAGCCTTGAATTGTATACTAATTCATTTAGCATCTCCAATTCTTAAATATTTTCTTAAGAATATTGTATAATAAAAATTGGGGAATGGGAGATCTAATTTGATAAAGGACACATTTTAGGACATTTTTTTGTATTTGAAGTAATTAGAAATGCAAAATTATGCTGTTGAGTATGAAATAAATGTGCTATATCAACAAATTAATAGTCTTAGCTACATATAAGGAGGATTTTCAAAATAAAAAATTTTGTAAGGATGATTTGAAAAAAATATTTTTAGATAAACCAAAACAAAATCATCTATTTTACACCGGCTAAAAACATATTTAACCCTTAAATTTCTATGACAATTCAACACTCCCTCCGTCCTATAATGATCTTCCCAAAACACTATTTCAACTTCACAGAAATTTATATTTATTTGTGATTTTTCATGGCCTATATGATAAAATAAAATATTCTTGTCCCCACTTGTTTTGTTGAACTTTTGGTGTAGTTTTTAAATATGTATGTTTTATTTTTTATTTCTATACCAATATTTAAATAAAATAGATTGAAAAAACTTGGGATTTTTCTTCGTTTTGCGAACCGGGAAGATCATTATAGGACGGAGGGAGTATAATGTATCTGCTAAGAAGGTCAAATAAAAAAAATTCTTTTATGGACGAAAAAAAGTATTAATTTAGAATATTTTGAAAAAATTATTATTTGTTTTTGAGAACAATTCTTTGACTTTGTATCTAGCAGTACGTTCGAGAAAGGCTTCAAGAGGTTGATCGTGTATACCAAGTAGATTCTTGCGGGATTTCTCACACCAAAGGGAGCAGGACCAAAAAAAGCCCTAAAAGTCTTATACCTAATAGTCTGAGAACTTAAAGTATGTAAACTAATTCTACTTAAATGATGATTAACGCAATAGTATTATTAGAAAATGAGTAAATGACAAAATCATAGTTGTATAATTACATACTATAAAAGCTAGCCAAGGATTCGTGAAGTTCTCCTTGAATTCTTAAGAGGAAATTGGTTGATCACATCTTCGTAGTCTATACTCTCTAAGATTTCATTTTCGATAGGTATTGATGGTGTAAATTACCTAACCGGGCAACTACTATACTAGACCGGGTCTAGAACAGTTCACTTGATTCAATAAAGTAAGAAAGGTAAAACACGCAAAGTGACCGGGAGGACTTTAGGTGGAACACTTGTAGCCCAATTTATATTATAATAGAGAATGCACGGGCACTTTTACAAGGAAGTTTAGAGAGAATGAATTCGGATCCCACTTTCTAAGGTTTACAAAAGTATTTATACTAGGTTTGGGGGGACAGGATGTCATGCACCCACGTACGTAGAGGCACATTCTCGGATGGTTGGAGGTGATGGCCTTCGTCCTTCAGCTGCCTCGTCGTCTAGTGAGGAAGACTACTCCCTTGTCAGGTAGTGCCTTGGATGGGTTCCCTTGTTCGAGTATCTCCAGCGATCCTCCACTGATATGGGTCGCTACAGTCCAAGCCTTTTGGACTCTTCTCTGCCGACACTTTCCAACCCTAGAAACCATACCGGGTGGTTTCTGAGGGATGAGTTTACTGAAAATCAGAATGAATCGTGGCGACGAAGTACTTTGACCGGTAGACTATCCGAAGTATACCGATCAACCTTTTGGTCAATCGAGCATCCTTTTACTGGCGATTTAGGTCTCCCTTCCAAGAACAGTCAACTTGACCGGTCAAATATTTGGACTTCCTCTTTGACCGGTCCTGGGTGGAATACACCCATCAATAAGCCCTCCACTTCTCGGTCATGAAAATTGTCGTGAGCGGGAAGTAGAAATCTGAAACAGGACATCAAATTCGAATTTTAGGCTTTTCCCGCCTGAAAATTTCGAAATTTGAATTTCAAATTTTGAATCTCGACACGTGTCGTGCCCCAACCGTCGCGATGACTCGCTGTCAGCCTACCCGTTCACCTCCCCCATGCGCCGTCATTGCGCCGTCTGACGCGGCGCTTTCTCAAGTGGCCACGTCGCCTTCTTTGGCCTCTTCCTTCCTATATAAAGACCTAAACCCCTCTCCTTTCTTCACTTTTCACAATCTGAGTCCCCAGAGCTTTCACCGCTCGATTTTCCTTCTTTTGCTTTCCAGCCCTCCGAGTCAAGTAAGCTCCTCTCCCTTCTCTTTTTTAAGTTCTCCCTGGGTATGTCTTCCTTAGGTAGTGATAGGATTTCGTCCTCAGAGGACCGCTCCTCTGAGGACTCCAACTCTTCTTCCTCGACCGGGTCTTCTTCCTCTAATTCCATACCCGGCCAGGTCCCCAACCCTTCCATACTTGAGCCGCAGCTTGTAAATCAAATGCCCAGTCAGGTTGCTATGGAGAGGGATGAACCGGTTGACAATGAACCGGGTCCCTATGACCCAGACACCGAGTCCTGGGAGGAGTGGGAAGAGCGGCTCCGAACTGCCGGTTACTTTCCACTCCCTACATATTATGTCCTTGACATTTCTTCCCATGTATCCAAAATTGCCCTGAATAAAATCCGTAGGAGGCTCCCGGATGGTTATACCCTCTCGTATGAGCCTGACTGGCCTAACATCATTGAACCCCACCAGGAGGATAGGATAGGGTTCCACACTATTTCTTTGGATGCGGGCATAGTTTTTCCCTTTCGCCCCCTCCTAACCGAAGTATGCCATGCGTTTAGGATTTTACCCAGCCAGATAACTCCTAACGCGCATCGGTATCTCCATTCCTTCGTAAACATATGTTCTCACCTTAAAATAGATCCTTCTCTTCATCTTTTCCTTTTCTGCTTTGAAGTCCTACCGGGTGGGACCGGCTGTGAAGGTTTCGTATACTTCAAAGGCCGTACCGGTAGGAAGTTCATTTCCGACGTCCCCTAGAGTAACCGGGGATGGAAGGACAAATTCGTTTTCATTGAGTTCCCCCCCTTCGTCACTCCATTGGCCGGTCTGAAATGGAATGACCACCTCCTCAAACATGAGTTCACCCTACCGGCCTCCTCCCATGACATGGAAGCGAGCCTCGAGACCCTTATGCGCGGCGATCCGTACACCGGGAGGATCTTCCACTATGGGAGCTGGGTTTGGAGGGTTGAATCGGGTGGTGAGGGTACCTCCCAGGCCCATGAAGCAGCGGGGCGCAGGGTACCCTCCCCGGGCAACACTGTAGAGGCTGAGGGCCAGAACCACCCAGGTATTTATTATTCTTCTTGTGATTTGTGTTTTGACCGGTGCTGTTTCTTGTACTTAACGACTTTAGCTATTTCTTGCAGACATGGAGTTCGAGGAGTTCGCCATCCCCGATGATCAGCCAATGGAAGAGGCCAGGGGCTCCCAAGCCAACCCTGCCAAAACCTTTCCGGTCTACTAGGAGACCGTGGAGATTCTTGACGAAGACGAACCCCAAGACAACCAGTCTAAGGGGGAAGATCCCTTCAAAGGGCAAGGAGAAGGCCGGGCACCGGACGAAGAAGGCGGCCACCAACCATCCTTCTGCCATGAACACAGAAGACAGATTCTAGTGTGGCCTACCAAACCGTGGAGGAGGCCTACATCAACCTCGGTCTCCGGTTGAGGGAGGTAAGTTATATCTCACACCCGGTACATCTCTCTCTTACATATCTAAGATTGACCGGCTCATTTTTTTGTTGCGCAGGTTGGGGAGATCGGGCCTATCACTGCTGACTGGCTGGGAATGGACTCCCCAACCGAAGTGGCCCGGCTGAAGAAGAAGAATGAGGAGATGACCCTTGTTCTTAAAAGCCAAACGGACGAGCTGGCCAAGTTGTCTGGTATGGCCGGGTCCATGGGAGTTGAGATTACCCGGCTTAAAGAGGAGAATGGTCGGCTGATGGACGAGGCGTCTGCAGCCAAGCGGTAGATGCTGGAGAAAGAAGAAAACTTCCCCGGGCGTGCAGCCGCCTGGGTTGAAGAAAACAAAGCTGACGCTGCCCGGGTTCTCACGGCGACTCCAGAGGCAACCATGGAGTCCTTCAGGTTACTGTACCGGGAAACTGAAGGAAAGAAGATGATCACCGCGATTGGATCGTTTGGATTCAAGAGCGGTGAGAAGAAGGACCGGATTGCCTCTCACCGGGTCTTGCTGAAAAGAGACCCGGCTTTCAGCGCTGCCTCCTACGGTCTGGCTCCCATCCCAGAGGAAGAGCCTACTCCCCCCTTCCCCTTAGACTAGGATCTCTCCGGCTGTGTCCGGTTAAATTTTAAAATTCAAGAATCTTCAATTTCCCCGGGGATGCCCGGTGTATTTTGTAAACAATTGACATTTTACTTTTGAAGTTCTAATGCATGTTTACTTTTGAATCCGGTGATACTGGTTTTCTCTTTGAATGTTTCTTTGTTTCATATTCCCCCCTTTAGAATGCTGGTACACCTGCGAGCAATCTCTTCAACTATTACTTTTGAACATCAATCTGATTAACTGCTGCCGGTAGAACGTCAACTTTTGCTTTTGAATATCTCCCTTTTCAACCGGGGTATTCTCTCTCTTTTTTGTTTCACCAGTAGGTTGTAGATGGAAACACATGTAACCTAGTAATTTCTTTAAGTATCCTTAACCGGCAAGAATACTGGAGATATAACCATGTCGAATGGTTTCGAACCCTCTCCAAGGTTCAAATGCACCCTTCTTCCAGGGCCCCCTCTTCCGGGTGATTAAGTCTTTTAATGGCCCTTTGATTTCTACTATCCCGGGAAGGCCTTAGCTCACCCCCCCGTTCAAGTCTTCCCTGAGAAGGGGGAATCCGAACCGGTCGGAATAGGATGCGTCACGGTGGACGATCCCTTTCTATTTCTTTTAATGGGAATCTTTTAGTCCCCAATCAATTTGACGGTCTCGGCTGATTCCCCGAGACCGGTCAAACCTCATGGGCCTGTCTAAGTACGGTTCGAACCTTCTTCCCGGTCCAGCCCTCTTGCAGGCATACCCCTCTTCCGGGTTTCATTTTTTTTATTATACTCAGCAAGACCGGTGTAGTAACCAGCGTGCCAGGTCCGGGCTGTGTCCCAGTTGGCTTACTGACGAGCTGCGTATAGCGGCAAGTCAACAAATAACCGAGTTTGACTCGGGTCATTCTCTCCAGGAGTAACGAAGGGAATAGTTAGTTTTATTATTTGTCACGGGCTAATTTCTAGTCTAATATATGCGAATAAATAAGAAATAAGTGACTAAAATAAATGATAAAATAACTTCAGGAATTAAGATCGGAACACGGACTTAACACAATTTAACTCGTCTTTAATTAACAATTGGATTAATGAAATGTGTAGCACTTATGTTTAATATTTCTCCTATTTCTAGGTCTCAATATAAAACATAAATGCTAATCTTATATTTAATACATCTCCTATTTCTAGGTCTCAGTATTAATTATAAGATTAATATATTTCCAGTACATCTCCTATTTCTAGGTCTCAGTACTGTGCTAGAAAATGTTTGGCTTAAATAATGGAAAATGTTAGAGTCACAAACATATAATTCACAAACTTCACAAACTTGCTTTTTCTGGATTTTAAATTAAAACAACTTTTATTATTTGAGTGCATCTTATATCTAAGAAAGTCTTAAAAAGGTAAGTTTGTGAATTTTGTGAACAGTTTGTTTGTGACTCTAGCATTACTCTTAAATAATTCTAAATCCTCATAGACAAGGCAAGAACTATTTTTGTTGAGGACTTGTCGTGTGGTCCAAAACAAATTAAAAATTTATAAAATATCCTTAGCTAACCCCAATATATAATCAAATAAAAACTCTAGCTAGGGCAAGTAAAGGTCGATCCCACGGAGAAAGTTTGTACTATTGAAACCAATTTAGCATGCACACACATTGTCACGAAATAAACAAAAACTAACTACTACACATATTATAACACTTATAAAACTATAATTAAATAAATATAGAAACATATAAATTGAATTTGTATAAACAAAGAACTTATAATATAACTTATAAACATAAAACACATACTTAAGATATACTAAAAGAATAAAGTATAAAAAAAAACTTATATTTATAACTTATAAACAAACACTTATAATATAACTTAGTAAATAAAAACTTATATTATAACTTAAAACACAAAGGGGGGGGGGGGGGTTGGATGAAAAGTAAATATTTTTTGGTTTTTTATATTTTCTTATTTTTTTGGTTTTTTTGATAAAATGGGGGAAAACAAGCTCAAAAGATAATCAACTTTTCCAACTTAGGTAACCCAAGAAACACTGCCAAAAACCCAAAACAAAATGAAAAAGAGAAAAAAAACACAAATTGAACATTACACGTATAATAGCCACTTAGACAATATATTACGTAACTTACGCACTTAAAAATAGAAAAGAATTCAAAGGCTCGAGTTGATTCATATTCTTGACCACATATAGAGGATCGTCAACTCTCAATAAGGCCCGGAGTCAAGAATTCAAAGGCCTTTTGGTTACTTTGAACCCCCACTCACCTCAAGCGCTCAAACAATGATTCCAAAAGATGAAAAAGTTTATAAAAGAGCAAATATTTCTTTCATTCTAACTCCCATGCACAAAGTATTCATGAAGAACATTTGATACACTTTAATAAACATTAAAGTCTAATGATGAAAATATTTTGCAGGTCTCTTTGAACAACTTAAGCGTAAGAATTGTAATCTATTCACATAAGAAAAAACATTACATATTTTCATTAAATCGAGAGTTGTTTATTGCGCTTAAACAATCCCAATTTTTATGAGAATAACAAACAAGAACACCAAGACATAAACAATCACTCTATAACGAATCTTAAGGAAAACGTTCAACTTATGTGGCTAAGAAGTTCATTTACCTTAAAATTTTACAAAACACAAGTCACAAAAGAGATTCACGTATGAATTCGAGAATCATTTAACTAAAATATGGAGCTAAATTAGCTTCAATGATAACCGAATTCGACATACCAACCTACTTATGAAATCAAATTTATAATTCAACCAATTTAACATCAATTTGCGCAAAAATTGAAGAAACTAGTAAGAATTCATTCTTCATTCATAAGGGATTTAATATAAACATTAAAAAAAAAACCCATAAAAGAACACCAACTATTTTGGAATTTTTGAAATTAACACAAACAAGGGAAAAATGTAAATTTGAATTGAAACAACACTTTTACAAAGAAATTGGAGAAGAAAAAGAAATTGACAAATATAGGGTTACCAATTGTTGAAGAAGATGAAGAAAACTTGAAGAAATTGGAGCTTGAAGGAACTGCCACACCTCTCACCGCCGACCATCGTCGAACGCCGGCCACCATAGTAGCGGCCAAGCCGCTGCTTTATTCCCGTTGATGTTCCCCCACTCAAATTGTTATTTCCGGAGCTCAAGTTATAGAAGATTAGGAGCAAAGGACCTTTAATTTTTTTCCCGTTGGAGCGCTTGAACGAGATTAATGGAGAGACGTTGGAGAATATTTGCTTAAATGCTTCGCCGGTTTCATGCAAAGAAGAAGCCGCTGACACTTTTCTCATTCTTGCGTGCGTGAGACAACAAACATGGAGTGGTGGGCTGATCTCTTTTAGTGTTGGGATTGGGCTCCGGTCCAAACTCAATCTCTTCTTTTCAAACTTGAACTGCACTTTGGCCTTTTTGCTATACTTTTCTCCAAAAAATAAGATATCTAATAATTTTGGGTCAGAGAAAATAAAAGAAAATAATAAAATGTAAAAAAATGATTAAAAAACTACTATTTTTGAAAGAAAAATAAAAGATTGTAAAAATGAGAATTAAAATAAAACTAACTAAAGAACTAAAAATTAAACACTAAAAATATTAAAAATGCCTAAAAAAAAGAATAAAAAGAACTAACCCAAAAACGACTTATCAATTTTCCAATTACTTAATTAATAAAATGTTTAGTATTATTAATTAGTTTAAACCATTCCAAACGTTTATTTCTAACCCTACCTATTTCTAGGTGTTCGGAACGTGTGGCTTAATTAATCTTTGTACCTCCTAGACAAAGTAAAAGATTAATTTCCAAAGATTAATTAATAATAAAAACAGTTTTATTAATTAATAAACATTAATTCATTTTCTAACAATTAATCCAATTACTAATAAATAGATGAAATTAAATTGATTAAATCCTTATTCCGAATCTTAACCCATTTAAAATTACCAATTCATAATTCCAAACAAAACATTCAACATCATCATAATAACATATAAAATCCTCAAACACATATCAATTATCAACAAAGTAAATTTTATTAATAAAAAGTTCAATAAAGATTACAATAAAAAGAATAGAAAAACTTACAGTTTCAAAGACTTGAGAATTAACTTTGGATGATGAAAATTAATTGACATAATTTTAATATAGTGTTTGGAAAATAAAAGTGGGGATTTTTGTCCCTAAAAGGGGAAAAACCGAAGTTGGAATATGGCTGGAAAAGGGAGGGGGTCGCGGGGCTTTTAAAGGAGGAGGTCGACCGTCAAGCGGGCAAACCGGCGGTCGCCGGCAAGCCCGCCGCCGCGCCGCTGGAATCTACTGGAACCCTCTCGCCGCTGGACGTCGTCGACAGGCGGGCAGGCTGGCGGTCGCCTGCAGGCCCGCCGGCGCTCTTCTTCACCGCCGGTTCCAGATCTCGCCGCTGCCACAAAATTCCAGAAACTTCACACCGCTGGACGCTGTCGATAGGCGGGCAGGCAGGCGGTTGCCAGCCAGCCCACCGGCGCCCCCTCTCCATCTGTTTGCTCGAATCACCATCGCCGCCATCTTGACTGGCGGCCAGGCAGGCCGCCGCCGGCCAGGTCGCCTGTCAGGCCGCCACAAACTACCGATGCTACCGTACTTGAAATTTCGTTCTGAACACTTTTTCCTTCTGCACCGACTTCTAATTCCGCATCGTTTGTGAGATAGAATTATTTTTCTATTAAAACTTTACTCTTATTACTGTATTCTTGGCCCAATTTTACATATTAATTCAAAGACATTCTTTGTATGATCAATTTATCAAAACATATGTTTTTGATGAAAAAGAATAAATAATTTATTGTTTTGATAACAAAAATGATACAAGAATGAATTAAATATGAGTAAAAAGATAAGTACGAAACGGACTTAACAATCTCCTCACAAGAATATGAAGAAAATTGTTTGATTACATTCTAAGATCTTACTTCCTCTCAATCGTCAATTAATACTATTAGTATTATTTACTATGCACTTTCCTTTATTTTCTAACAACTAAATAACTCATCACTCTTTTCAAAAAAATAGCAATGAAACTTGTTTTAAAATTTGCATGAGTAAATTAATCTTCCAAAATCCGTTAAGATCAGTAATTAATAACGATTTGTAGTCTTTTAGTCCACTTATCTCAATTGAGTAAATTATATTTTTATTTTTCCCGTGAGTTATCCCATAATTCCCTTTTTATTGCTTATGATATGATTTTTTTTAAAAAAATAATAATAGAAGGGTAGAGCTCCAAAGGAGATAGGATACTCAATTCAGCACGCAAGCAATTGGCAAAACTGTTCGGGTTGTGGGTTTATCCCATTACATGTGCATACTTGCTCCCTCGCCTTATGTGATTCACGGGAGAAGCAGAGCTCCTTTCGGAGATAGGATTCCCAATTCGTCACTAAAGCACAACCCTCACAATTAGCTTTGTTTATTTATTTCAATTAAAGAGAAAGGGACCAAAAGATTTATAATCGTTATGTAATTAACAACCTTAACTTACTCAACTAAAACTCAACTCATGCAAAATCTTTAAAATAAAAGTCCATTGTTGAGATTTTTGAAAGGAGTGAGTAGTTATTAAAATTATTAGAGAATAAAAGAAAATGTAAAGTAAATTAAATACTAAATATATTAATTGATTGTTGAACGAGGAATTAAACATTTTAAAATGTAATTATACCCGCTATCTAACTTTGCCTCCTCACACTTAAGCTGGACATTGCCCTCGAGGTCCAAATGTGGGATGCAAGTAGAAAACCCAGGTAGGACAATCCTCCTCACACTTAGTGTGAAGCATATGATGAGGGGCAATATTTTTGTGATCATAAAAAGTTAAAAATTTTGGCCAAGATTAGAAATAAAAAGCTATTTTTAATAGAAAATAATTCTATGCATTAAGGCAATATTGGGTGCGAAAAACTGACAGGGCTCACTGCAATGGCTTCTCTTCGTTTCCCCTGCAAAAGAAAACAACAAAAGAGAAAAAGAACAAGTGCACAGTGTGTGATAGTGTAAAAAAAACTAGCTAAATTTGTTATTGTTATTATTTATTATTATTATTATTGTGATTATTATTATTATTATGACGGGTTGCCTCCCGTTAAGCGCTAATTTAACGTCATTAGCTTGACGCCATTATTTCTAAACTTGGTAAAATAAACAAAACTAACGGAGCACTCTCCTCGAGAGTCTCGAGTTTCTTCTGGATTATCGCCGTAAGGTGGCGCAGACCCGTGTATTCATGAAGCCAAAGAAGAATAAATACTTTATAAAAAGATTTGAACACACCCCATTGTATAAAATAATCCAATAACGACACACGTTTAGGGGTGTTTGGCTTCATGAAAAATGGCTGAAGGAGACCCTCATTTTGTGATAAATTCTTAGATGACTCAAAAAGGTCTCCTTGAATGATTATTCCTACGGGACTCTCTTCAATATATAAATTCGGATTAGGTTCAGCACGGCCCCCTAAATGATCAATGCCCTCGTCTTTTTGAAAGACATCAACTTCAACCACGCTCGTATGTTCTCCATTTTTCTTTTCAGGAAACGAACAGACAGATCCTTGTTCGTCTATCTTCTCCTCTAATCTCAACGAAGAAACAATAGAGCTTTCCTCGGGCACTACTCCCTCCAACCCATTATTGTGATTTTCATTATTTTTAATTGAATTTACTCGAACAAGAATACCTTTATTAAGCAAGTTCTTCAATGTTTCTTGATATTCATATTCAAAGTTAGCCCAAAGATTTTCTTGTTCGAGATAATAATCATTTTCATCAAATTCCTCATCTTGAGGTGGTTGACCTAAAGAAGGTGTTCCTTCTTGCGCTATATTTGATTCAACAATTTTATCCACCGTAATTTCCTCATCCTCAGCTAACCATTCATTTTGATGAATTTTATTAGATTCATTAGGTTTGAATTCTAATAATTCATAGAGATTTCCAATTTCCTTAAGAATATCTACTTTTTCATTATTGAAAATCTCTAGATTAGAATCAGGATTTAGAGAAGAATAAGGAAAAGTATAACAAAGATCACCTTATTCATTTACTAAACCCTTCTTTTTAAGGAATTCATCAAAATCAAGGTTAGTATATCTCTTTAATTCTATTTGCCCTATTAAATTTCTTATAATGCGATCCATGTCATTTTTTATTGATTTTAATTCATTGCTAATCACATCAAAATTATTAATAGGGCAAAGTGAGGAATAAGGAGAGGAATAATTTTTCTTGATAATCAAAGTTATTGTAATTATCCTCCTCTTCAGGATTATTTTCATTGAAAAATCTAGGGGGATTATTACAATAATTTTGATTATCATTAAAATCACAATAATTATTTTGATAATTTGGTAAATGATCAAAATTATTAAAATTTCTCCCATGATCATAATCATCAAAATAATTATTATTCATAATAGAATTGTAATACCAATTGTTTTCAAAATCTTGATCATTACCAAAATTATCTTGAAAATTTTGTGAACAACCAAAATTACCATTATCATAATTATTCCACCTATTACCATTAAATTGATAATCAGTTTCAATCATAGGTGGATTTTCATAAAAACTATTTTCATAATGGTAATTTTTGTTATAATCATTAGAAAAATTATTTTCACAATATGGGTATGGCGGGAAATCATTAAAATGGGAATTATAAAAATTATTAAAACGATTCATAAAAATGTAAATAAGGAAAAAAAATAATCAAGAAATAAAAGGAGTAGACTAAAAATTTGCTTTTGAAGATATAAAAACTGACTAAACCATGCCACTCCCCGGCAACGGCGCCATTCTCAGTTGGCTTACTGACGAGCTGCGTATAGCGGCAAGTCAACAAATAACCGAGTTTGACTCGGGTCATTCTCTCCAGGAGTAACGAAGGGAATAGTTAGTTTTATTATTTGTCACGGGCTAATTTCTAGTCTAATATATGCGAATAAATAAGAAATAAGTGACTAAAATAAATGATAAAATAACTTCAGGAATTAAGATCGGAACACGGACTTAAGACAATTTAACTCGTCTTTAATTAACAATTGGATTAATGAAATGTGTAGCACTTATGTTTAATATTTCTCCTATTTCTAGGTCTCAATATAAAACATAAATGCTAATCTTATATTTAATACATCTCCTATTTCTAGGTCTCAGTATTAATTATAAGATTAATATATTTCCAGTACATCTCCTATTTCTAGGTCTCAGTACTGTGCTAGAAAATGTTTGGCTTAAATAATTCTAAATCCTCATAGACAAGGCAAGAACTATTTTCCAATTACTTAATTAATAAAATGTTTAGTATTATTAATTAGTTTAAACCATTCCAAACGGTTATTTCTAACCCTACCTATTTCTAGGTGTTCAGAACAATTTTATTAATTAATAAAGATTATTTCATTTTCTAGCAATTAATCCAATTACTAATAAATAGATGAAATTAAGTTGATTAAATCCTTATTCCGAATCTTAACCTATTTAAAATTACCAATTCATAATTCCAAACAAAACATTCAACATCATCATAATAACATATAAAATCCTCAAACACATATCAATTATCAACAAAGTAAATTTTATTGATAAAAAGTTCAATAAAGATTACAATAAAAAGAATAAAAAACTTACAGTTTCAAAGACTTGAGAATTAACTTTCGATTATGAGAATTAACTGACATAATTTTAATATAGTACTACCTCTGTCCACCATAGATCTTCCCAGTCACTATTCACAGGGTCAAACTTCACTCACTTTGTTTGCTCATTTTTACTTGTCATTTCGTAAAATAATATAGTCTTGTCACCTCTAGTTTTGTAGAACTTTTCATGTAGTTTATTACTATATAAATTTTATTTTAAAATTTTACCCCTATAATCAATTAAATTGAATTGAAAATAAAGTCGATCAAGCCTCGTAACGCGTAATGGGAAGATCTTAGGTGGACGGAGGGAGTATTTGGAAAATAAAAGAGGAGATTTTTGTGGGGGAAAAACCGAAGTTGGAATATGGCTGGAAAAGGGAGGGGGTCACGGGGCTTTTAAAGGAGGAGGTCGACCGTCAAGCGGGTAAACCGACGGTCGCCGGCAAGCCCGCCGCCGCGCTGCTGGAATCTACCGGAGCCCTCTCGCCGCTGGACGGTCGCCTGCCAGCCCGCCGGCGCTCTTTTCTTCACCGCCGGTTCCAGATCTCGCCGCTGCCACAAAATTCCAGAAATTTCACACCGCTGGACGCCGTCGATAGGCCGGCAGGCAGGCGGTCGCCTGCCAGCCCGCCGGCGCCACCTCGCCGTCTGATTGCTCGAATCACCATCGCCGCCATCTTGACCGGCGGCCAGGCAGGCCGCCGCCGGCCAGGCAGGCCGCCGCCGGCCAGGTCGCCTGTCAGGCCGCCACAAACTGCCGATTCTACCGTACTTGAAATTTCCTTCTGAACACTTTTTCCTTCTGCACCGACTTCTAATTCCGCACCGTTTGTGAGATATAATTTTTTTTTCTATTAAAAATTTACTCTTATTACTCTATTCTTGGCCCAATTTTACATATTAATTCAAAGATATTCTTTATATGATCAATTTATCAAAACATATGTTTTTGATGAAAAAGAATAAATAATTTATTGTTGTGATAACAAAAATGATACAAGAACGAATTAAATATGAGTAAAAAGATAAGTACGAAATGGACTTATCACTTACCAGGTGGATCTGATCTACCCGGGAAGCTTTTCTAGGATAGGTTCGACCTATCGTTTTTGGTGCTCCAAGATAGAATATTGGACCCTCAATTCGATTGATAATAGAAGTAGGCCTTGCCTAGTAGGTTCCAACCGGTAGGTTCCCGGGCGAATGATGTCTCTAACCCGGTAGGGTCCTTCCCAATTTTTGGCTAGCTTACCTCCATCGCCCGGTCTACTAGCCTCTCTTCTCTGCAAGACTTCATCGCCAACTTAGAAGTAACGCGGCCCAACCTTGTTGTCGTGGTACCTCTTCACAACTTGTTGGTACATGCTCATTTTCATTTCCGCGGCTATCCTTCGCTCTTCGACCAAATTGAGCTCTGCCAAGTGGTCTTTTTCATTCTGCTGGGGTTGATAATTTGATTCCCGGAATGTTGGGAATTCAGCTTCGATGGGTAATCTTGCTTCACACCCATAGGTTAGGGAAAATGGAGTTTCCCCATGGGCCCTCCTGGGTGTTACTCGAAACGCCCATATGATGTGCGGAAGCTCTTCCAACCACTTGTTTCCTGCTTCTCCCAGCCGCTTCTTCAGGCCATCCACAATCGTTCGGTTGGCGTTTTCCACTTGGCCATTTCCTTGGGGATATGCCACCGAAGAACGATTGTGTTTAATCCCAAAGCCCTCCAAGTATTCGGTGAACCTCGGATTCCGGAATTGTGGGCCATTATCGGTGATGAGATTCATGGGAGCGCCAAATCTTGTGATGATGTTCTTCCAAATGAATTTCTTGCATTGTTGCGTGTTTATATTGGCCAATGCTTCGGCCTCGATCCATTTGGTGAAGTAATCGATGGCCACTATCACAAATTTCTTCCTTCCTTGGGCGATTGGGAACACTCCAATGATATCAACCCCGAATCTAGCGAACGGGATAACATTTGATATGGGGTGATAGTATGTCACCGGTCTACCGGGGTACTTGTAGAACACTTGGCAGGTTCGGCATTTCTGAACCTACCTTTCACAATCCTGGGCGATTGTTGGCCAATAGTACCCCAGCAGTATGATGCGCTGGGACAAGGTGCGAGACATTTGATGGGCCGCACATACACCTTCATGGACTTCTGCAATGACTCTTTCAGCTTCCCGGTTGGTTAGGCATCTCAAGAGTGGTCCCCCGAATGCCCTTTTGTACAGCATCCCATCAATGACTTGGAACCGGGGCGCCCTAAGCTTCACTTTTCTTTTCCGGTCATCTTGTTCGGTCAAGCTTCCATCTGTCAAATATTTCATAAGATCGCACATCCAATGGTTATCCGCCCCGATCAGGTTTGACCGGTCAGATTGGCCTGCTGCTGTTATGGCGACGACTTCCAATTTATCGATGCTGGCACGATCGAGAATTTCCACCCGGGCAAGTTTTGAAACGTGCTCGGGGGCATACTGCGTCAATTTGGAGAGAAGGTCTGCATCTGCATTTTCTGCCCGGGGAATTTGGGCGATCTTGAATTCCACGAAGCCTTTCAACAAGGCAAGCACTAGGTCCTAGTATTGTGCCATTCGTCCTTCTCTTGCTTCCATGTTACCGGTCACTTGCCCAACAATGAGACTAGAGTCAGATTTGATACTGACCCGGCTGATTTTGAGAGCTTGAGCAAGTTTGAGCCCTCCAGCTAAAGCTTCATATTCTGCCTCGTTGTTCGTCAGCTTGAAGTTGAAGATGAGTGCATGGTAGATCTTGAACCCTTCCGGGGTGGTAAACACTATACCACCCCCGCAGCCTTTTGGACTGGACGCCCCGTCTACCGCCATCTCCCACCATTGCTTGGTAGGGTGGCTAACCGGTAGGTCTAAAGTTAGACCGGTCATTTCTATAAGAAAATCTTCAAGGGCTTGTCCCTTGATTGCTAATCTCGGCCGGTACTCAATGTTGAATTGAGTTAACATCATAGCCCATTTCACCATCCTCCCGGAGGATGTTGAATTCTGCAATACCGCACCCAATGGTTGGTCAGTCAAGACTTCAACCGGGTGAGGTTGGAAGTAGGATGTTAACTTTTTCGTGGAGATGAAAAGCGCATGGACAGTGTTCTCCATCGCCGTATATCTACTTTCAGCTCCGTTTAGTGCTTTGCTCACATAATAAATGGGCTTTTGTGCCCCGTCATCTCTTATTAAAACGGAGGTTACAGCATTTGGGGATATCCCTAGGTACAGATACAAAGTTTCACCCGGTTCGGGTTTTGACAATACAATGTCTGACACTAGGTATCCTTTCAGCTCCTCGAACGCCTTCTGGCAGTCTTCATCCTAGGTGAATGTGTTGGCCTTATTCAGGACTTTGAAGAAGGGTAGGGATCTCTCAGCTGACGGGGAAAGAAACCGGCTGAGGGCCGCTAGACGACCGGTCAACTTTTGAACATCCCTCAGAGAAGTGGGAGCTTACATCTCGGTGATAGCCCGAATTTTTTCTGGGTTGGGCTCTATTCCTCTCTTGGTCACCATGAATCCCAAGAACTTCCCGGTACGAACCGCGAAGACGCACTTCTTGGGATTCAACCGGAGGTTGTATCTTGCCATGATATCAAATGTGGCACGCATGTCAGCCGGGTGATTGAGAGATACCTGGCTTTTGATCAGCATGTCATCGACGTACGCCTCTATGGTCTTTCCCAAGAAGTGGCTTGAAGAGTTTGTTTACCATGTGCTGGTAAGTGGCCCCAGAGTTCTTCAAGCCAAACGCCATTACCCGGTAATAGTAGGTTCCTTCGGGTGTGAGGAATGACATCTTCTCTTCATCTTCCTTGGCCATGTAGATTTGGTGGTAGCCCTTGAAGCCGTCCATGAAACTTAGGAGTTTGCACCCCGCAGTCTCGTCCACCATTTGATCTGGACTGGGGAGGGGGTATGAATCCGTTGGACAAGCCTTGTTCAAGTCCGCGTAATCAACACTCCATGTGTCTCCCTTGGGGGCAAGGACCACATTGGCCAGCCACTCCGGGTATTTGACTTCCTGAATGTGACCAACACTGAGGAGGTCTTTGACATCCCTTTTGACGAAGTCTCGCGGGTCGCTGGCTAGGTACCTCTTCTTCTGGCGTACCGGTCTACTTCCATCCTTCACTACCAGCCGATGGCAGATGATTGAGCGGTCAATTCTAGGCATATCTGCCACGCTCCATGCAAATATGCCCGCGTACTCTTGGAGGACACGTGTAATCTCCGCCTTGAGATCTTCTAGGAGATTTGCTCCGATTCTGACCATCCTTGAAGAATCACCCGGGTGAAGTTCGATCTCCACCGTCTCGGCCTCGGGCTCAAGTTTCTCCCGGGTCTCTCCCTTTGTGATTTCTTGGGAGATGACATTGACCCCCTTGGCCATCTTCTTGACTGCTCAGGCATAGCACTCCCGGGCGTTCCTCTGGTCGCCTTTACTTCACCCACACCGCCTGGAGTGTGAAACTTCATGCATAGGTGAGGCATGGAAATCACCGCTCCGACTTTATTGATGCCCAGTCTTCCCAGGATTGCGTTATGGACGCATTTGATGTCCACAACGATGAACCGCATCTTCTTCCATACGGTTTTTTCACCCGATCCTAGTTCGACCAGTAGAACTATGGATCCTTCAGCTTCCACTGTATCTCCCGTGAAGCCTGAAAGAGGGGTTTTGAGGGGTTCAAGTTGTGTCTGACACAACCTGAGTTTTTGGAAGGTCTCCAAGTATAGGATGTTGACACTGCTGCCGTGGTCAACAAGTACCCGGGCAACATCCACCCCATTAATGTCCATGGTGATGACCAATGGATCGTTATGATCTTCACCGGTGGGTGGGAGATCCCGGTCAGTAAAGACGATTGGTTCCCTCCTAGTATGCTTACGCCTGGCCGGTTCAGCACTTACTTCACCAACGTAAATGCTGCGGATCCAATTCTTCTACTGCGCGGCTGAATCTCCACCTTCGGGTCCACCGAAGATCATCCCAATATGCTCTTTCTCGGGATCAGGTTGTTGCTCCCTTTGCCGGTTGTTCCTCCGCCGGTCGTTATCCCGGTCATTCCCCTAGGCTGTAGGCCTGATCCATTGGTGGCTCTTCTCTCGGGCTTTCTGCAAATAATCTTTGCCCAGCTCCCCGCTGTCTATCATTTGCCGGATGACTCCCTTAACACTCTTACATTCGGAAGTGTTATGGGAATCTGACCTATGGTATGACCAATAGGTGCCCGACCATTGTCGTCCTGCTTGACTGGTAGGGTTTTCCGGAGGAATGACCGGTGCTTTTCTGATCTCTTGGCATTCTTCGGTATTGACCATACGGACGATTGGGTCATAGTGATGCCTTGGCCGGCTAGGACCCGGTTCTTCTTCCTTGTTGACTTGGACCGGCTTGGGCTTGAAGCCATGCTCTGCTTCTTTCTTTGCCCAGAGTTGGGTTTCAGCCTCAGCAAACTCCCATGCGGTGTGGTAAGCTTCTTGATACGTGGCCGGGGGTTTTCGGCAGAATTCCTTGTATAGTTCCCTTGCACGTAATCCGTTTAAGAGAAGGGACAACACCGTCTTGTCGTCCATCTCTTCTACCTTGTCAACCTCTTCCTTCCACCGGGTAAGGAATTGAGTGAGGTTCTCAGATTCCCTCTGCCCGGCTGTACTAAGATAGGTGAATTTCTTCCTCTTAGTACAATTCTTCTAGAACTTAGCCTTGAATTTTGAGGCCAAGTCGCAGAATGAATCAATGCTTCCTGGGCGAAGCTTGTTGAACCATTCAGTAGCTCGGTTCCACAAGGTTTGGAAGAAAAGGAGGCCAAAACACATACATACATACATACATACATACATACATACATACATACATATACATATATATATATATATATTGTTTTTTTGTTTTTTTTGTTTTTTTTGTTTTTTTTTAAATTTTATTCAATAAAAATGTGCCTAAGTGCCAACAGGCTGACACCTAGTACAAGAGAATGTAAAAATTCCAAAGCTAAAAATATGAGACTTATATAATAATGTAGTACTCCCTCTGTCCTAAAATTAACTTCTCATTTGACTTTTCACGGTCTCCAATGCGACACTTTGACCATCAATATCTCAATTTTTATATAAATATATTTTATAAAAATTATATATTTCAAAACTATGTTTCAAAATGAATCTATTGCTAATAAATTTATATGAAAATTCAATGTATTTTTTCCGTAATATACGGTCAAAGTTTAAAAAATTTGACCACAAAAGTCAAACTGAGAAATTAATTTTAGGACGGAGGGAGTATCAATTTTGTTCGCCCAACACCACGTTTGCAAAAGCTTTTTTTATAGATATCATAATCTTGTCCCGTTTCCAAACGCCTTGAGAATAAAGGATTGACTTGTATGTCTTCCAAATCGACCAAAAATGATTCCCGGCAAAATAAATCTGATATTACCCTTAAACGTTGATCGGTTAGAGGACAACTACCAACCTAGCAAAGATTGAGTAATTGTCTAAGAGCTGCCAATGACAGGTGCATCTAACACCATTGCATATAACCTCTAGAGCTCCACCACCTCTCTGCAGTTGATGAAAAGATGATACTCATCCATACCGTCTCCCATACAAAAGGGACAAAGAGCTGATGTCTGCACATTCATCCGGCTGAGATTCATGGGGAGAGGGAGAATCCTGTTCAAGCACCTCCAAAGGAAGATGCCAACTTTTCCAATCTGCCTCTTATCCCATAAGTAAACACATGACAGTTGCTTTGGGTGATGATTATAGGTTAAAGAATAAGCCACTTTGAAACTATAGGTTCCAGTCCTCCATTGCAGTACCCCATTGTTAAAATGGCAGTGAGGAGCAACTAAGTGAAAAACCCTGCAGATGGCTTTCCATGTATAGAAATCATAAGCTTGATATGTATAATCCCCATCCCTAAAGTACTTGGCCCGCATATACTGACTCCTGATTGAAACCCCCTTATGAACCTTCACCATGAATCAATAGAGGCAGCTGCTTGACAAAGATTTAAATCCCTCAAACCCAGGCCCCCTTCTTCAAAAGGAAAACAGAGCCTTGTCCATCTCCTCCAATGGTATTTTTGACCATCATCCTTAGCTCCCCAAAAGAAATTAGCCATCAAGCCATTGAGACATTTGATGATAGATTTTGGTAGAGTTTGCGCAGCAACTAAATGTAAAGGTATAGAAGAAAGCACATGTTTGATAAGTATAAGCCTCCCCATCTGGTTTAGCTTTCTACTGTACCATGATGTTATCCTCTTTTCAAACTTCTCCACCAACTCCTTGCAATGTATCTTCCTTAGCTTACCTCTGACAATAGTAGAACCCAAATAAGTAAACTCCTTTGTATGACACTTAATGCCTAGAATCTTGGTAATTGCCCTTTTCTGCTCAAGCCTCATCTTGTCATGCACAATGGCTTGACTTTTGTTGAGATTTATAGCCTGCCCTGAAGCTTCCATAAAGGATGATAATATTGTCTTCACTCTCAATAAGTTTTTGCAATCTGCCTTTGTAAAAATAAAAATGTCATCTACATAAAGAAGATGGCTAGGGGTTGGGGTTCTACTAGAGGAAAAGGAGGAGATCCTACCAATTGAGTGCTGATAATTCAAGAATCTGGTAAGACCCTCCAAGGCTAGAATGAAAAGTAAGGGAGATAAAGGATCACCCTGCTTAACCCCACACTTCATAGGAAAAAAACCCTTTGGCTGCCCATTAATAAGCACAGAAAAGAAGGTTGATTTAAGGTTTCCCATCAAAAGCTAAACCACTCTTTGATTAGAACCAAACTTAGCCAGGATTCCTTCCAGAAAATGCCATGAGAGTTTATCAAAAGCTTTAGACAAATCCAGCTTTAGTATACAATTCCCTCCTCTCACCTTTGCTGAAAGGAGATGTACCATTTCCTTATCCATGAGAACATGCTCAGTTATGCTTTTGCCCTGCTAGAAAGCAGCCTGCTCTGGAGAGATAAGCTTGGGCAATAGTTTTTTGAGTCTGTCACTCAATATACTGGTTGTAATCTTGCTAAAGAAAGTGGACAGAGAAATGGGTCTAAACTGATCCAGGGTGATGGCAGACTCATTTTTAGGGATAAGAGTAATTAAAGTACTGCCAAAGACTCTTGGGAGCTTGACCCCAACAAAGAATTCCTGGACAGCCTTACAAACATCAAGTTTGATTGTATCCCAGCATTGCCTATAGAAGAAACCATTAAAACCATCACCACCAGCTGAACTATTAGGATTTAAACTCCAAACTATTTTCCTGATTTCCTCCTCCTCTGGAATAGAGCCCATAAGTACATTATCCTTATCAGTCAAAGCAGGTTGTATTTGACTTAAAATATCCTCCATGTCCCCCACATAACTGCTTTCAAAAACCTTCTGGAAATGATCAATAGCTGCCATAGAGATACCATCTAAAGAAGAGGTAAGTCCATTCAAAGTTTTCAAGGTTGAAATGTGAAGTCTTTTCCTTCTGCCCTTAACAAATGCATGAAAGAAAGCCGTAGAAGCATCACCCTAAGAAATCCATTTAGTATTGGATTTTTTAGCCCAAAAAGCCTCTTCTTTCTTATGAGCATATTGAAGGAGAGCCCTAGAGAGCTTAAACTCTAAAAAGTTTTCCTCACAATCATCCAATTCAAAAGCTGCCTCAGCCTTTTCAGCTCTGGTTTCAGCTTTGGACACCTCCTCAAAAATATTACCAAAAGTTTCTTTATTCCACTTAAGAAGGCTCTTCTTAAAATAGTGTAATTTATCAGCCAGTCCCCTCATCCCCCCTCCATCATATCTTTTGTCCCAAGAGGATTGCAATAACTCCTGGAAAGTAGGATGGGAGCACCAGACATTTAAGAATCTAAAAGGCCTAGGACCAGTTGGTGGATGATTATGGCATCTAAGTAGGATTGGCCTGTGATCTGAATTCCCTCTTCCCAAATGTCTGATCTCCAGAGATTGATACCAATCCATGCACCCCTCATTTACCAAAACCCTATCCAACCTTCTACACACATTTCCCCTACCCCTCTTCCCAAACCAAGTGAAAGAGCTCCACAAAAAAGGTGGAGAGACCAACTCACAGTAACTAATGGTTTGGGTGAAATCCTCAATGATTCCCATGTCTGGACCAATAGGTCCTTTATGATCAGATATGCTAGCAACTGTATTAAAATCCCCACCAAGAATCCAAGGATCAGATCTAGGAAAAAGAGATCTTATAGAATCCCAAAGTTCCCTCCTCTCAAGTCTAGTATGTCTGCCATATATACTAGAAACCCAAATTAGAGAACCATCATCTACCACTTTAAAGCCACATGTGATTATCTGATTGTCCTCAATAAGAGTATGCAAGGAGAGCTTATTGTCCTCCCAAAGAAACCATAACTTATTATCAAGAGCCTTAAAGCCTTTAGGAAATCCCAACTTCATTTTATACCAATCAAGGTGTGAATCATCAACCAAAGGTTCCAAAATGGAAATAAAATAAAAATGATATTTTTTGTGAAGAGAAATAAGGCGAGAGATGGAAGAATGTACACCACGAATATTCCAAAAGAGACCTATCATTTGGATGTCAGAATAGAGAATCTGTTTGAGGCCATATGCCTTGTAACCATATTATGCCTACGTCCAGGATTCTCAGGAGATGGAGGAACATACTTCTTCAATCTCTGGCCTTTTTTGGAAGGGGTCAATTCAACAACATCCTCAACCTCAAAAACCTCTGCAGGAAATTCAACAGCAATAGGGTTTTGTTCAAAACAGATAATAGCCATGTTTTCATCAACTGGAAAATCTTCTTGATAGGGGATCCGAATTGAGTTATCAAAGAGATGCTGCAAAGTAAAAGCTGAAAGAATAGTTGGATCTGTTATAGAGTATGATTGAAAATCCTCAATCTCAGATGTGTGAGTTGGCTTAGGACTGCAGCTGGATTGAGGTTCAGTAACAGGAACCATATCCTTCATACTGTCAGTTGCTTTAGAACATTCCCCTGGCCCTTCCAACCATGGTCCGTTATTGCCAGATTCCTTAACCCTCCAAGTCCATGTAGTAATGCTCTTAGCCTTTCCTTTCTTGGGTTGAACAACCTGCCATCCAGTATCCCACTCCTCCAAAAGAAAAGTTTTGGACCCATGCTTCTCCCTATCCATATTCTGTCCATCCAAACCCTCCAAGGGTTTCCAGCGTGGGCATGAATCATGGACATGGCCAACCTTTTTATAATGATTACAAAAGGATGGGACACGTTTATAATAAAAAGGAAAGATGAGCTCTTCACCAGCATGGTTAATGAGAATCTTAGGGGCGGAAGGTTGGAGATATCAACCTCCACACAACATCGTGCAAGTTCAGGCCTCGTGAAATTTAAAGTATGCATGTCAACCTTCAGTGGCGTACCAATGGTAGAAGCAATAATTCTTAGAGCCCTTTTATCATGCAGATGAATATGAAGATCAGGGAAAGCAATCCAAACTAGAATAACAGGATTATCATATTCCTGGGAAAGAGAGGGACCACTTTGAAAATGTCATAGTAGAGCCATGCACAGACCAAACTCTCCGCATGAAAAGTCTTACGTAGTCTTCTTCATTTTTAAAATTGAGGAGAAAACGCTGCCTAGAAAGAGATAAGATCTCACATGTCTCCATCAGCCCAAGACGTTTGATAAACCGATCCATGGATGAAAATGATGGACGTTCTTGAAACTTGGCAACCAGGGAAAGTTTAAACCTACCAGCCAGTTCAGAGATATCCTCCTGGGTGAAAGTGATAGATGGTATTCCTTTGAAAAAACCTGTTGCTCGTCCTTGAAGTGCTTTACCCGTGAAACCCTCAGCCACAACCTCGGAGAAGAGGCGATTTCCGACCGGAGGCCTGGGCGCTGCATGCTGATCGCCGGAGCTAGGGTTACGATCCATTATATATATATATATATATATATATATATAGA